ATTGTTTTGTTACACACGTTGAATCAACTTGACATATTGATCATGAGTTCATGATTTAACTCAATGAATCACTGTCAAATCAGATAATTGACGAGTATGAGTTCATATACATTTGATTTTTTTTTAAGATAATGCAACAAGATAACTATTGGTTTGAATAATTGAACCCATGAAACTCCCTTGTATTATTGCTTGGGATATGGGTATAAGACGTAATAACGTATGAGAATAACAACTATAGTGATAATACTTCTGAGCCTTTCGATGAGTTAACTTTTTAATATAACTTTCTTGCTTTCAACTGTACATCTTTAGTATCTTCACCTACATTCATCTACCATTGGTCCTTTATATTCAGTTGTAATCCTTTTCACATGCATGAATTTGTTAAGGTTTCGATAATGATGATAAAAATAGATAAATAAAGGTTGTTTAAGGTATACGAAGATTTCGTTCTCATCTTCTTATCATAACTCTTATTCTTATCGGAACCCAACCAATGAATATAACAGGTAAATTACATTAAAACACGATGCATTTTGTCTATATTCTTATTTTGAGAAAATATATTGTCTTTTATGCAATTAAATAAAAGTATTATATTTTTATGCAATTAAGAAAACCTATTATAATGTTGTGAACAAAATTGATGTATTATAACTTTGTAATAAAAAATCATTTAAAAAAAGAATTATTACACTTTTTTTTAGTATTAATCAATGTGATTTGTCGTTTTAATTAAAGTATTTACTTGAGTATAAATTTATCTAGAATTTTTTTTTGAAAAAAAAATATATATATTAATTGATAATTATTTATATATCGGTTAATAAATATCTTGCTTAAATTAATAATTTTTAGTGGTGCAAAGTGTATTAATTTATAGAGTTTTAACTACAACTAATATCTTTCATAGCTATCTACTTGTAAATTTGTCATTATTACAACAACGATAATACTGGAAAAGACAGTTTCAATATTACCCATACACAATCCTTTATATAGACGTTGGACGGGTGGACACTAAGGTGGAATAAATTGGAACTTAGCCAATGGACGAGTAGACCAATGTTGAATTTGGGTTTACCTATTATGGGCCCCCTGTGTCTCATTTGGTGTGAGTTGCTTAGCTTTGATGGTGATTTTGTGTTGAATTTGGGTTTTCCTATTATGTAAGTAAGATTACTTTTTGCCTTTTCTTTTTTATTGTTTTGTGATCAACAAACCCATTCGTAAATTTTTTAAGTGTTTATATACGATAAATGCAATAAACAAACTCATACATCATTGTTATTTTTAGTGCGATTTAAACTCCTGACTAGGGGTGTACAAAAATATCCGACCGACCCAACCAACTCAACCAGTAGCCATTCAATACTTAATCGAGTTGTAAAACTTTTCAACTATATTGGGTCGGAATTAGGTTAGGGTTACTTGAATCAAACCAGCCCAATAATTCCTAATGGCTTTTTACATTATGAATTAGATATGATTGTTAACTTTTTGGTTATATATGTACATTAGATATTAGACCAACTCGTAATTAGCTCTTATTTACATGAACTTTCAACTTTCTTCTTGTAATTTGTTGCATGTTTTGGGTTTATAACTACACAAAAATTCCTGTTGGTCCTTATATTGTTTGTTGAATACTAGCAGCCCGAGTAACCATACATATACATTATTACCATATAGGAAATGGAGCAGGTACTCATGTAATTGATAGCCTTAATAGAAAGCGTTGTGCAAATATCTTTTATGTGATTGATTTTATCTCATTTTGATTTTACTTTGTTTAAACATAATAACTTAGCTAGATTAATGATATACCAAAGATCAACCCGACCAACTCACGCAGTTTGGGTTGAGTTGCGTTTAGATTTTTCAAACCGCAAACATTGGGTTGGGTCATTCAAATGTCTTCAACTCGACCAACCCAACCCGTGGACACTCCTATTCTGACTTCTTGAGAGGTTAAAGACTCAGATACCGCTAAGTCAAGTACCTTTTGGTAAAACCTTCAGTAAGTTGGAAATATAAATGCTCGACTAATAATTATTAATATTAAATTATGTATAAGATTAACATGAATATTAATTTTCACAATACAAATGAATAAAAAATCAAGACATCCAACTCTTTTAAATTACATAAAATTCATTTTAAATTGTCTTATACATATAATATTTGGTAGGATTTTTATGTTAGTTTATTTTTTAATACTTTATTTACCGAAAACTTTAATTTATATTAGAAGGGTACTTACACAATGCATCGAGATAAATCTCTATTTTAATGTTTAGTTTTTATTCATTGTCTCTATCGATATAATACGATTTTATGTGATTTTGAGAAAACAATAATGTTTTTATTTTTGAATGAAATATAAATTTGAAGATAGCATAAAAATTTGAAAAAAAATAAAATCGATATTAGTATCAAATTAACTACTTAATAGTTCTTGTTTTTTTGGTGTAACTTCTTTAGATCAAAATTTTCTATTATAATTTAATTTAGATTCAATAACAAAGTAATTTATTTTAGTTTAACTAGAAGAGTACTCGCGCAATGCAACAAGATATACATATTGATTTTAATATTTTTTTATCTCAATCGATGTTATAATATTGTCTTATGTGATTTTGAAAAAATGATAATGTTTTTATTTTTGAATAAAATATAAATTTGAAGATATAATAAAAATTTGACAAAATTATATCGATATTAGTATCAAATTAACTATTTAAAATTCTTCATTTTTTGTTTTTTAATTCAAAATTTTTAATTATAATTTAATTTAAGTTCAATAACGAAATAATTTATATTTGGTTTAGTAATATAATTTTCTTATAAAGATAATAGTTAATTATTTGGTTAAAACTCGATAATTATTCTAATTATATTTTAGATTTTTTATATTTTAAAATGAGATGTTTATTCTTTATCTGATTATGTTTATCCACATTTAGTTACACGAATTCAAACATGAAATTTTAATAAGTTGTACTTATGCATAATTTACTTGTAATCTTTAATTTTAAGTAATATGCATCAATATACAGTACTTCATGCATAAAAAATGGTTTTTAAGAATTTTTATCAAATAATTTATAATATATTATTAGAAAGTAATGAATATTTAGTTGGTAATTAAATATTAGAGTAAACTATAAACTTGGTTCTTGTGGTTTGTTGAAAATAACACTTTTGGTCTTTACAATTTTGAAATTACAAGATAGATATCATAGTTGTAAAAAACATCTAGATTTGACCCCTAACTCAAATGGTCATTTAAAAATTGTATTATATGAGACATATTTTCATCTTTTTGTTATTTTTTTGGTCTTTTAATTAATCAAAATCGATTTTATGAATTTGGTTCCTATGGTGAATAAATGATAAAACAATCGATAAAAAGACAAAAACATATTTCATTTAACAAAAAAATTTAACGGTCGTTAACAAGAGAGACCAAATCTGGATGTTTTATTTACAAACTATGATGGTCATATTATAATTTTAAAACTACAAGGACAAAAAATGTTATTTTGGACAAACCATAGGAACCAAATTTATAGTTTACTAAAATATTAAATGTTTATTTGGAGAGAGGATTTTGGAAGGAGTAGGAAAAATAGAGTTTTCAAAAGCTTGTCCAATATATTTTTTCGTTGTATTCCATAGTAACCTATTTTTATAAATCTTTTATTAGTATTATATTTTTATTATAATAATGTATTTTTAAGTTATTTTTTTATTAAAATATCATATTTTTAAAAAAATATCAATTATAACAATGAATAACTTGTTACATTTTAAACATATTAACCCCTTACTTTTATTTGCTTCCTTGACTTAAATGAAATAAAATGGATGTCACATCATTTTAATGATATGACTAAAAAAAAAAAAAAAACCTCTTTCAAATTATTTGTAATGATTTTTATTTTTCAATACTATGATTAAAAAAACATTTCATTTTTTTAATTTTTTTATTAAATTACATGCAAATTAAATATTTTAGAGAAAAAATATCTCCTAAACAAATATGATGCATTATTTTTTAGATAACTATTTTATTTGTAACAAATGTAACACTTCTTATTTTATTTTATTAAAAAAAAATACTTATCTTTTAAAGTTTTTTTTAAAATGTTAGAGAGATAAATTGTGCTCTACAAGTTTTTTTTAATATTGTTACATTAATGACTAATTCAAAAAATAATCTAATTAATTTAATATATTTATATGTCAATTAAATTTGTTTAAACATGTATGATATATTCTTTAGAAAATAAATATTTTTTGGTAAAAAATGTAACAATTTTTAATTTCATTTTTTCAAAAAATACATATTTTGTTTAAAAAAATTAGCAAGGTAATTGTGTCTTACTAGTTTTCTTAATATTGGTATATTAATGAATAATTTAGAAAATTTACAATTCATTTAATATATTTATTAAATATATTTAAAATCAAATTTTTTTTCAAATATAATGTTGTAATAAGAAATGTGACGTTAACAAAATTTTATACATGGATATCTCATATGGACAATGACATGATATGAAAACCTGGTAACTTGTGTCATGTCATCTTAATTCAAATCAAAATGTTATTCATTGCTATAATACCGATGTTGGGAGACTAAATTTTTAGTTAATTTAGGTAAACATATTTGATTAAATGTTCAATGTTGTAACAATAAAATATAAAAACTAAATTGTAATTTAGATGCTGGTGATGCTATAATAAAGTAATTTTAAAAATATAATATTATAATTAAAGTTTAATGTTGATGATATAATATATGTGAACAACCTACATGTAAAATGACATGAAAATCATATAATAAATAAATTTAAATTAAAAGATTATCTAATATTGTAAATTTGTAATAGATAAAATATTTAAAAGATAATATCTCAATTAAAAAATAATTTAAAAGAACGTTATTATTATAAAAAAACTAAAAATATAATGCTATATTTTTTATTATCGTTTTCCTGTTTAAGGCAATCAATTGGTATACACAATCGTGTCTACCTCCACCGCCATGGTTGATCAACGTTCCTAATCGGCGCCGGTAGTCTCACATGCACCTTTCTCCGCCGGTGACTGTATTCCTCAATCTCTATCCCTTCAATGTTTCATCTATTGACTACGCTGTTGATTTTCTGGAGCTTCGACTCGTCATCATTGTTATCATCCGCTTTCCCCATTTTTCCGACGGTAGGATCACGTTCGATACTACGTGCAATCAAGCGCAGCGATGATCAACCTGGTTGTGTGGTTGATTTGAACGCCACCAATTTTGATGCAGTTCTCAAGGAAACCCCTGCTACTTACGCCATTGTTGAATTCTTCGCTCACTGGTCAGCTTTCTTTCTAATGATTTCTAGGGTTTATGAATTTATTACTTTGGTTGAGGCCTCAATTGTACGCGCAGTCATGTTAGCTTGAGATTTGGCTTTTTTTTTTACTCTGGAGTTAGGTTTCATCGTCATTTTTGTTTTTCATTTAATGAGTACTGGAAAAAGAAACAAGATTAAAGCGTAAGTCGTATGAATCAGACTTTGGTGAAATTTCTAATTGCAAACAAGGAGATACAATTTGATTTTTGATGTCAAACCTAGTATATCTGCATGGAAAATTAATATTAATTTTGTTACGAAATCGTATTTTTTTTTCTGTAATAAGATTAGTCCTCTTTACTCAAAAAGTCAAAAGGGTGTCTCAAAGATTCACCGTTTTGCGTCTGGAAGTATTTGTTGGAAGGAAACTTAAAAACATGCATAAAGAGCCATTAGTCTATCAGACAATTTTGTTCTTTTACAGGATAATATCTTTAAAACAAATTACATTTTGATTCTATGGCTAAACGAGCGAACTTCTTGGATCTGTTTATGACGATATAATTCACTGGCTACTTTAAAACCATTGGTCTACTTGGTTGTGTTTTTTCCTTCAAAATTGCTCCAATTTTGTACTATGAGCTTGTGTTTGGAATTTTGTCTTCTAAAGTTGAAGTACATATATTGCTTTCCTACAATGTAAATTTGGTTTATCCCACCGTATATTGGTTTTGTACTAATCATATGTATACATATATGTCTGCGTGTGTTCCTATTATATACATATCTGTTACATAGGGATATGATCAAGCTGTATTACCAACTAGTTGACATGCTTAAAAAAATGTGAGGGCCTTATAAACCAATTTGTGCTTGGCTGACAGTATGTATGTGATCCAATAGAATGCTTAGCTACTAGTGGTGCCTTCATGGAAGCTATACCCAAACTTCATGGTTTTTCTTCTAGAGACATCACCTAGAATTTAAGCCGGTCCACTACATGCGGTTGACAATCTGATAAATGTTGGTAACTAAGATGGCAAACTTCTTTTGACTATTCCATTTTTAAGCATCTGCATGCTATTTCTTATTTTATTATTAATGTTTTGGCAGGTGCCCGGCTTGCAGAAACTATAAGGTATTTCTATTTTGATTCTGTAAATGTCAACTCAAAGTAATTTAACATGTTTGTTTTTCTTATCATATTAGCTTTAATTTTGCAGCCCCAATATGAAAAGGTTGCGAGGCTTTTCAATGGAGCAGATGCGGTTCATCCTGGGATTATATTGATGACACAAATAGACTGTGCCAATAAGGTATCATTATTAGATTTTTCGTTATTCCTTCTAGAATTAATTAAATGTTCACCTACAGAAAGAGCTTTCATTTGAATGTTGTGATTCATGAATGAGGTAATTCCTTTTTTTAGGGTTTTATATTTAATTGAACAAAATATTAAACTTAGATTGAATTAAGAATAGGGAAAACAAAATAAAAATAAAGTTATAAGTGCACAGCTTGTAATGGCGATGTTTGGGTTGCTGTTGGTGTTGACATGTTCAATTGTTCATCATGCAAACCATTGGGAGTCGAAACTGAAAATGACTGTTTTAACTTGGAAAATTACATGGAGTACCAGAGGTTATGCTGTAATAAAATTCTAGAACTAACCCCATGTTCTACAAATATATAAGAAAACCTGTTGAATTGTAAAAGGTGCCGAAAAGGCATGAGAAGTTGTTATAAAATGTTGTAAATAAAGATTTGATCACTAAATAATCTTAATAAATAATGAAGAGCTAAAAATGAAAAAAAGTTATGCTTTCTATACCTTCTTGAGTGTGTGAGGTTCATTTCCTGTCCTTACGATTGTGCCTATCTATTAATACCAGCCCCATGTAACTGCCACTTTGCCAACTGCTAGTATATGACTGTCACGTTGATCCTTTATATTTGTGCCACCTGTCTGAGTAACCTGCTCGACCATTGGTGTAATCACCTAATACACTTTATTAATCACTACACAGGCTGTAATCACGCTGGATCTTTGGGGAGAATATACTTGTAACTTCCCCAAGCTGATCATCTCTAAGAGCATCTCCAACAGCTTCTCCAAAATGGAGAAAATAGAGAAAATGGGGATTTTTAGTCAATATTTTGCTCGAACAGCTTCCTCAAAACTATCTCCAAAATGGAGAGAGTAGGAGAGAGAAGCGTTTTTCTCCAAATATAGAGAGAACCCCAAAAATGATTACTAAGTGAGACCGCCAATAGGAAACTTTGAAAAAAATAGTGAGAGAGATAATATTTGAATATTATAATCAATGTTATATTCTCCAGAATGGAGAATTTGTTGGAGATGAATGTAATTTTTTTTTTGGAAATTTTAACTTTTGTTTCTCCATTTTGGAAATTTTTTGGGGAATTTGTTGGAGATGCTCTAACCTTTTTTCTGGAGGGACATGAAGAATTTGCTACTTGGTCATAAACTTTTTGCAAGTGATGAGAAGATTGATGGCTTACTATCAAAGGCCATATATATATATATATATATATATATATATATATATATATATATATGTTAAGGCTTAGGTTTGCGTGAGAACCACAACAAAGTTTAGAACCGTGAGAACTATTGATGTATATACACTATCAAAACTAGTATTCTGTCAATGGGTATATTCATCAGTACATATCTACTATGTATGCAAGTATCTATGCATTGATGCATACACTCACTGGAATTCATTAGTGTATATGTATCAATGAATATACAGGTTCTCATGGTTCTCAAATTTTTTGTGGTTCTCACATGCTACCCCTATATATAGCATTGGATTGTTAGACTCTATTCAGGATTCCTAAATAGGTTTCTCATCCTTGCTTTCGACCTATTTAATTGCCATCTAGTCTTTCTTCATTAATGCCTAGGCAAGCCTCAGTCCTCTTCATGCTGATCATCGGCACATACACTAGTTGGGATTATTCTAGTAGAATTTCTATATCTGATCTAGTTGATACTTTTGCACTTTTCACTTAAAATGTCAACTTCACACTGGGTATTTTTTTGTCTTAGGCCAAATCACAGAAATATTGATGAGAACTGAAAAAGAAACAGGTAAACCTGCCATACAACAGAAACAGGCACAGGTGAAAAATATGTATGTATAAGAAAATAAAGAGGAGAGGAGTGGAGAGAAGTAGAAAGCAGCATGTCAAAATCCTAATAGTTTGGACTACCAAAGTGTAAATATTCTATGTTTGTGTAACAATGCATATTGGATGTTCAAGTATTTAGAAGGTGTTCATTTCTGGACTTGTAAGTATTGGAAGCCTTAAAACAAGATTGAAACGACAAAAAGAAAAGCCAAACCCTCCAGAAACACAAGTCAAGTAGCATCCAAGCCGCACCTTTAGATAAGCTGTATCCAAACGATCTCTATTAGTCTTAATAGACGTATATGCATCTGGTGCATATTCGGCCATGCCCATGCCACACCTGCACCAAATTTGCACCTGATGCGGATATGTCACTCTAGCTCAAGTATATGTGGTTCATAATCCCAGTTGATAAGCAAGGTGCCAAGGTGCCAAGGTGATATGCTAAAAGAATCTAGTTAAGAAAAGGTTCAACGCTTGACACACTGGCCCATGCATGTACATGCTTTCCTTTCCTCTTCACTTATCATAGTTGCAATCTAATATGTCCCCTTTTGTCGACTCATACTTACTCCTTCCTTTTTCTTTTTCATATCCTAGACATGTTTTTATCCCTTGTTACTATATCATGGCATATGATCAATTCACCCTTAACACATGCTTGGCAGCACAGGTAAATACTAATCTTTGTCGTAAGTTCCATATTTCTCATTACCCAATGCTATTATGGGGACCACCTTCTAAATTCATTGCCGGTCGCCGGAACGGCAAACAAGAAAAAGGTGAAATTCATCCCATTGAAGATGGAAAGACTGCTGATCTTCTACTCAAATGGATTAATACACAATTGGGAAGGTATGATGATTTTTGAGATACATTACTTGTTATCTGTTGCCTATTTACATACGATATCTTGAGTCAGTGAGTCATGCACTGTAATAAAATATCTTAATTTCTCTAACAATACAGCTTGGTAAACTACTTTCTATCACAGACTTCAATATGCATATTTATTATGTATCTGTTATTACAATTAGGCTGGTTCTACTGCATGAATATATTTTCAAGAAGGTCATGCTGCAAGTAGGAGAAAAATCTATATGGTGGAGAAGAAAGCTTATGATGAATACAAATCGTTAACATGAAGAGCAGATATTACTTTTCTTTTTTAAGCATGCAAATATAGGGTTCTGAAAGCTAGGAGCTTGACAGAATGTAATAGAGGCTACAACTTTTACTCTTTCATTTCTTTGTAAAAGAATGTATATTATGTAAGTGCTTAATGTTTAKGATGGCTGCACCATCTATCCTGACCGTTCTTCCCATTACATATTTTGATAGTTTATATAGATAGAAAGAGACGAAGTTTAGAATCAGATTGTGCAATTTGTCAACGTAACAGTTTTCTCATGTTTTCACTTCACATCAGACAATAAGATTAAAATGTAATAGTTGTTTCTCCGATGGAAAAATTTATTGCCATACACCACTCCTTCAGTAATTGTATGTTCGCTATTTGCATGTGTCGTAACTGTATGTTTGTTTTTCTGTTTAGCTCATATGGCTTGGAAGATGAGAAATTTGAAAATGATAAGCTTCTTCAATCAAATGTCTCAGACCCTGGACAGGTTTAGCTTTTGAAGCCATTGCTCAAAATACATAGCTTGCTGCGTTAACCATAAGAAGACCTTTCTTTTCTAGTAAAGCTTAGGCACATGATTAACTTTTGAAAATGTCTTAGATTGCACGCGCCATATATGATGTTGAAGAAGCCTTGACTGTTGCCTTTGACATTATTTTGGAACACAAGGTTAACATCTTTTACTCGTATTATATTTGTTGTTGTTTATCACGCCAAATTTCTGATCTTCACAGACCTTTTTCTATATGGATATTTGGTAGATGATCAAATCGGATACTCGGGCTACACTTATAAAGTTTTTGCAAGTTATGGTGGCTCATCACCCTTCCAGGAGGTTGGTATCTTTTCCTCATTCCGTACTTGTTATTCAAAGTTGCTATTTTCTTCATTGTTGAATCTGAACATAATATCAGGTGCCGAAAGGGAAGTGCTGACATACTTGTGAACTTCGACGATTTGTACCCTTCAAATATATCGTCAGTGAACAAAGAGGAACTGAATAATAGCACCGGACTGGGTGCTCTGCGTACCTTTCAGATATGTGGAAAACAAGTTCCTCGTGGATACTGGGTAAAATTCAGCTAATGCACTCTTTGTTCATGTAGAATTTCTTGGCTTCCTGATTTGCTGATACCTCAAAGCAGCAAGTTTGTTTCCTTTCTTTCATTCCCGTGCTCATTTTGGTGGTATACTTATATAGGGAATACTGGTAAAAGCAAAAGAGAAATAAATAATGCTAGAGTTGCTATATATCGAATGATGAAAGTGTCTGATATGATTACTCTTCAGCCCTTCTACTCATAGTGTTTAAATATAAGTATAAAGCATTGCTCATAAGTATGATGAGGGGAATTAATGTTGGTAGGAAATTCAATGCAATTGCTAGGACAGATCTTTTCGACCATTTGATATTACCGAGAATATCATGCTTCATATCCTCCCATGGCGTTTTGGATTTGACTTTTTCTGAGGCCAAAGCTGAAACTTGCAAAGAGAAGGTGCTTTCCAAGTTCGACAAGAATGGAGCCATGATACCCCTGGGCCAAGGATCATCCTGCTTAAGTTAAGATGCAGTCAATAGAATTTATGTAGGGATGTTTCCTAGTATATAGTTTTAATCATGAAAGTTCTAGGTGATACATCCTTCTTTTTTGTATTTCTCTTTTTGTTAATGGTTATTTCGCAGCATCCTTATCTACAGTTTGACCTTAACTAACACTGACTTCATTACCTAGTCAGGCTAGGCTAGGTATTCTTTGTTTCACTCTTTGTGATCCTCAACAATTGATCATCCCATTTCTGGTTTTCTACCTGTCTAGGCCAGTTTTGGTTACTTTATTTAACGTCATTTGTGCATTACTTCTTGTGTCTCAAATAAAATCTGCTATAAGCTTATGATGTTCCTAACTAATTGATACTCCTAGTTTATATGAATTCATTTGTGCATTTTTCCGGCGCAATATGGTTTGAAAAATAGTCAATGCGTGTGGTTTGGTCCGATTTGCAGTTTGGACTTTGGACTTCTGCATATTGCAGTTGAATTGCACTGCATAACATATTTACACACACACACACACATATATACATATCATCTAAAAAAATATTTTATATGTATTATAAATTAGGAAAAACCCAACCAAATATACCCAAGTGTGATGCTAACACCATCTATAAAGTGGGCTGCTAATTAGAGACTGGACCAAACCAATTCAAGCCAGGTGTACCCAACATATCTCACTAGGAGGTAGGGTGGGGGTGAGGATGTACGAAACCTTTAGGGTGGGGTAGACATGCTGTTTTTGTCAAGGCCCCTGACCTGCAATTCAAATTTTGAAAGAAACAAGAGGGCAAGAGATGGATGAAAAGACTAGCAAAAAGGTGTTTTCAAACATGCATCAAGTACAATAAACAGTAAAGGCAACAAGGGCATATGTGACGGATATGTATAACAAGCAAGGAAACACTAAATCGCTACTAATTACAGATTATAATCATATATTCATGTTATTGCTCCGTAGAGATTATGGCGGTGCTCTATCTGCACTTTAAGCTACACCTGAGTTTGATTCTATTAGTTCATAGTTTATATCATATTTTATTATTTTATAAATATGTTATTAATTAAGATGGATGAATTTAAAGCATAATGTCATTATAATGAGCTAAAATTAATTAATAGGACTAAATAAATCCCCATAATAAGCCTAAACCGTAGAGACCAGTTAGACCAGATCACGTTTTTGTGGTGCAGTTTGACCGGTTTGGTCACTTCATCCCAAATCGCATGGTTTGAAAAATTTCTTGAACCGCACTTGCGGTTTGGTTCGTTAAAAGGGGGTTAGACCGGCTAGACGTGTCTGCAAACACCTCTAAACAAACATACGGAGTTGACTACTTTTGAGACTTTTGCATAGGTAGCCGAACTTCACTCAATATGGGGAGGGTCCTTATGTCTCCTGCAAGTAATCGAGATTACCACTATGCCATCTTGATGTCAAGAATGCTTTCGTTAATGGTAACATATAGGAAGAAGTGTACATGGATATTTGACCCGGATTCCGCAATGAGGAAAATAAGGGATTAGTGTGCTGCCTCGAGAGGTCTTTTTGTTGTCTTAAATAATCACCTTGCACTTGGTTTAGTTTGGAGAGACGATGAAGAAACTTGAGGTTATTCAAGGACAAGCTGATCATACACTGTTTTGCAAACACTGGTCTTCCAATATCAATAGGTTGATTGCTTCGGAACTCATAGGGAATCAAATTGATTTGTGGACGGAATCAGGTATGCAGGCTTAACTGAAAATAGGGATATTTGGTGATTCAACAGATGACTCAGTTAAGATGAAGGTAAAAGTTTTATAAGATTACTGTTCACTCTAAAATCCTCAGAAGCCCCTGTCCACCTCACCATTCAGTATTTCGTCTTATTCATAGAGAAATCTCTGATCAAGGATAGCACAAGATCCAAAAAAGCCAAAATTTATGACAAATTGGAACCAGGTGAGTTTATAAAAAAATACAGATCTTGGGTATCATCCTCGATGGGAGATCACAATCTTAATCATGTATGTAGATGATATAATCATCCCATAGGACTTCAAACGAAAGATTGACATACACTTTATTAAGGAAAAGATTGTTTCTGGAGCATGTATGGTCTACGCTCCAACTGATCATCAGATTTCATACCTTCACCATAGGACTTCTCAACAACAAATTTAAGTTCTTTATCAAAGTTGGAGATGATCATGTCTACTATCCAACTTGAGGGGGAGTGTTGGCATGTATTAATGTCCAAATATTTCTTAATAAGTTGTAAATAATCTGCTATTTTAGTGTAGTCAATGTTCTGTAATTAGTGTTTTTCCGATTCTTAGGAATTCTCCTAGATAACCTTCTGCTGCCTTTATAAACAAGTTGTAACCTGTAGGTTCTTTATGATTGAATAAATAAGACTTTAACTTATTTCATTCACAAAAACTACATGAAGTCGATGGTATGAATTTAAAATGATAATGTAATATGCGTTTGTGAACAATTATACTGGTAGAAGGCCGCATTTAGCGTGGGTGGACAGTTGTAGGAGGGACATAGAAGTAACTGATTCTTAATTTTTGATGTTATTTTCTTCGTGGTAGGATATCATTTCCGAAATTTGGCATTTCTTGACAATATTGTATCAGAGATAGAGAGATGGTTATGGGATTGTAATGTAAAAATAAGTTGTTATTTGAAGCGACTCTAGATTATAAAGTTAACATAGCGAAAGTTCTGCATACAGCCCCATTTAAACTGCAAAAATTGCCATATCAGATGCTGTGTAGCGTTATTGTTGTTGGTTTTAATATTGTATCTTATGTTCTTGAGATAGACCCTCTTGTTGGTCAGTTATGACCCATGCCCACGTCAACTTGATTGAAACATCTCTAAACGATCCGTTTGAGATCTCTTAGTATGCGTTTCATTTTGTTGATATATTTGAACGGTTCTAATCTTCTCACTGCCTTCAGATTTTTAGGGCTTTCTTACATTTACTGTTGCTTTTACTTCAGCTTCATTCATGTGTTAGTCTTTTGGAAGTACTCTTCTTGTTATAATGCATATGATTCACCGAGATAATTGTAAACTAACTTATTGTTCCTGCTTTTGAAATATAGATGTTTTGTCGTGGCAGCAAGAATGATACTAGGGGATTCAGGTATGCAATCTATTATTCTTGTGGGCCAAAGTCAATGCAGTCAATATTTTGTAACAATGACAATGGTAGAATAGGTAAATTAAGCTTATAATTTGCCAAAAAAGAAGACATTGCAATCAATCTGACGTTCCAAAATGGAAACTGTCACAATTTTTATAGAACACACGGAGTAATCTTTTGGCGGAAAACCATTTTCATCTGGTCCAAAACTTATTCTGAACTTATTAAGAAAAGGATGTTAATGATAGTTTGTCACTTTGCAGTTGTGGTTTATGGGTTCTATTACATTCCCTCTCGGTGAGAGTGGATGATGGAGAGAGCCAGCTGGCTTTTACAGCTGCCTGTGATTTTATCCACAAGTTTTTCATCTGTGAGGAGTGTAGTCAACATTTTTATGAAATGTGCTCCAGGTAACTGCTTAAGCTTCTTTTATGATCTTTCGATCGTCTAGTTGTAGGTCATGTGCAATGCAGGGGTCACTTAATTCATGGTAGAAGTTATTGGTAGCCTACAACTTGAGGCTTATAAGGAGCTCACAAATCCCATTTTCTATTCATTGGATCGACTCTGATACCATTTGTAACATCCTAAAGTAACAGGCTGACCCAATAACTTCGTATTCAATTTAAAACCATGGTGGAAAGTTATTGGCAGCCCGCAACATGTCCTATAAGGAGCTCACAAATCCCATTTTCTATCGATGTGGGATGAGTTGTTACAATTTTGTTCTCTGGCTGCAGTGTTTCTAGTCCATTCAACAGGACACATGATTTTGTCCTGTGGCTGTGGACAGCACATAACAAAGTGAACGAGAGACTAATGAAAACAGAAGCATCTCTTGGAACCGGTGATCCCAAGTTCCCCAAAATAATCTGGCCTCCAAATCAGCTCTGCCCGACTTGTTATGCTGCTGAAAATGTGAGAACCGGAAATAACTGGGATCACGATGAGGTGTTCAAGTTCTTGGTACGCCACTATGGGAAGATGCTCGTATCTCACTACGAGGACAAGGAGATCATGAGCCATGTGAACGTAAAAAGCAGCACGGTTTCAGAAGATTTGGTGGGGTCAACAAATGCACTTGTGGTGCCGATGGGGGCTGCTGTGGCGATCGCATTGGCGAGCTGTTTGTTTGGAGCAGTGGCGTACGTGTGGCGTTCACGACAGAAGAATCGGAAGTATTTATACAAACCCCAGTTTTTAAAGAACGTTTAATTAGATGGGGTTGAGGAAGGTCGTGTTCTTATTGTATTTTAACAAATTTCAGGCCAAGGAGAAGCTGGAGCTGACATATCTGATTAAGCTGCAGAAACAAGTGAAAGAAAGTCAGATGACAGACCCATTCCTTTGTGTCGTCTTTTATTAGCCGTTTGTTTTGAGCCAGCCAGCCAGCCTCCCTCGTATATATATATAAGGTGGTATGTACAGATTCGTTCCTTCATTGCGATTACAGTTGCGGAAAAAGCTTTATCTTCACCTCTATAATATTTTTTTTCTTCAAAAATATTCCTATGTCGATCAGGAATTGTTGTTTTGTCTCCTTAATTTAAAAAATGAATATAGTTGCTAGGGGTTAATTGATGATGATATGCACCATAGGCATGCATAAACTCATGATGCATGAAAAGCACGAGCCCATATGTGCGATGGGACAGAACGAGATTGGACAAAACTCACCGTCCCATGTTTGGTGCGTCATAGGACAAAACAAGAACTCACTGTTTCACATTCAATGCCACATGGGACAGAGACAAGAACTGAGATAAGGTAAGAGACTACGAGACAAAAGTTTTTTCAGTTCCACCTATTTGGGACAAAGATGAGTCAAGAACTATAATAGTACTAGTATACTCTCGTTTGATATATAACTTTAATATAGTATTTGTTTTAAGGGTCACCAACGTTGGTTACTGCCGTCACCACTACTGTCGGCCACCGGGAGCCACCATCGACCACCTCCACCAACTCTTACGTTACAACAACCTCCTCCACCACCTCAATAACCATCATCGGCCATCGACCACCACCGTCCATTGTTGCCACTACTATCACCGTCGGCCACCTCACTACAACCACCTCCTCCACAACCACCAATAACACTGCCTACCACCATAACTACCTCTATTGGCTACTGCTACCTCCACCACCACTATTCACCGTCTTCATGTCGCAACAACCACCGCCGTCCACCAACCATCACTGCCTTTATCTCTACAACTTTTGTCATCTACCGCCCACCATTGCTAGTACCTTCGGCTACCTCCACCATAACCACACCACTACCATTTGGTGTTAACGTCGGCGATACTCTAATTGATCATATTTATATAACTATTTATATATGATAAAATAAACTCCGATCGAAATTCATTCATTCAAGTATTCTGTTGGATTAATCATTTTTAGCTTAGATAATCAATTCCAATAAATTGTGTTACATTCCGTTCAATTCCAGAATCTTCAAAAACAAACCGAATAACTACAAATAAATGAGAAGACCTTAAATGATGAGAAAGTGGAAGGAATTGGTTGAGATTTTTCATCTTAAAATAAATAGAGACAAAATGATGGCTAATTTCAAAAACCTAGCTATAAAAGTTGATGGAAATTTTAAAACTTTTGTATAACTAAATCATGAATTCAAGTCACTATAGAAATTCCACTTTCTTAATTAATTCAAGTTTAATAACCTATAAAAATAAGTGGAATTTACTGAGTTTCTTTTTCAGTTAAAATTTTTGTATAACTAAATCATTAATTCAAGTCACATCATTGTTACTTTAACTGAATAAGAAACTCAATAAAACTCCACAATGTCTCACTTTTCAATTTTTTATTTATAAAGTACAATTTTATTTATATAAATTTAATACAATATAGACAATTTGGCATTTTTTTAAAAGATAGAAAAAATATTTTATAATTATTAATGTACAATTTATAAATTAATTTTAAGTTATATAGTTGAAAGTATTTAAAAATAATAATCTATAACGAGATAATTATGTACTTCATTTGCTTTTGTAAATAATATATTAATATACATACGCGTATTTAATAAAACATATATATTTTATGAATATGTTTTGTAAATTTATTAAAACAAAATAAAATTGTTAAAAAAATTCAGATAAAAAATTAGGTTCCTATTCAACATGGATTCTTATAATAACTTGTGAATAAACAAGAACATCTATTTCGCTTGGTACTTTTAGAACCCTCGACAAAAACCTCCTTGTAGATGCTCAAATTCGCTTTCTTTACAAATTTTTACCCGTTAATGGGGTCTATTTCCTTTTAAATAAAAAATGAATTAGCTGTTTTATTTTAACTAAATTTTATAAAATATAATCAATATTTTAAATTTTTAATAAATAAATTATATCAAAATAACGAAAATTTCATTGTCTTTAATCTAAGATCAATAATGATACATATATTTTTTAAGGTTACACATGAATTTGGGTTATAAGTTATAAACTAATTCACATACATGTTACCATTAAGATTCATATTTAAATCTATGTTATGGTTCATTAATTTACATAAGAACCAATATATACATAATTATCACCACCTAATAATGGTTTATTGAGATCTTTTACGTTTGGTTCCATTTCAAACAGTCAACGAATAACTTCGATTTAGGTAAAAAAGACTTAATCAATCTCTTAATTGTAAAGTCGCCAAGGAATTTATGGTGTAAGATTAAATGAAAAATCGATGATTATCAAAATTCAATAATGGTTATGAAAGAAATGGAAAATAAGCTATGATATTTGATATTTTTTCTATCTTAATTACTATATTACATGTATGTCTTGTCCTAAACAAAAAAACTTCGAAAATCAAAATTATAATCTAGTCGATGAGATTGCTTCTCATGTTTTCAAAACATACACACACACACACACATATATATATATATATATATATATATATATAATTCTCATTTAAACCTAACATTATCATGCTATATAATAAAACATATGATCGATCACATGGATTAAAACAAATGACATTAATAACGATATAATCAATTTGCAACTTGTTGTTTCTTATATATATATATATATATATATATGTTGATAAAAGATTAAGAAACCATTAGTTCATGGATTAGCCAATAATCCAAGTACTGCTTATCTCCATTATACAAACCTTATGATGTTCTGAATGTCATTTCCCATCAACTTATAATAAAATAGTTTCAAGTACAGATTATATATTAAAAAGAAATGGTTTGATGTGTACTAAGAAGATGAGGTGTAGAGAATGTATATGCTCTATAAAGTGATTTTAGGATCAATCATAAGACAGAGTTGTTTCCAAAAGTAGCAAATGCCAATGCGTTAGTCTTCGTATTTCCTGCTAAAATCACCATATATTAATAAGCTCCAACCATTGATGATATCTATGTCAGCAAGTGGGCTGATTATTAATTACTATTATTATTAAATTAATTAGTTAATACCCAAGAGAATCTTGATGTTAATAATTAAGCATTAAACTATATATTAATTCTTGGAGGGCCACTGAGGTTTCTTTTTAACTTTATTATGCAATCTTGACTGGGTATAATAGTAGTCTTTTACGTTTAGATACTCCCAGAGGACAAATACGCATACTCGAATCTTATGGTCGAGTTTTTTCATATATACTTTCCTACTTAATTTTGAGCAAGTTTTAAATAACGTAACATATAACATGGTAACAAGGTCAAGCTTCAAATTTTATGAAGTTATGACATTTTTTAAGGCTTACCTAAAACGACATGTATACATACACACACACACACACACACA